CCCCCCCCTCCTGTCCAGATCCCCTATTGTTTTCAGAAGCTCATCCTTCCTAGATTCCACAGCCTTGAAGGTGTCATTGTTCAATTCCAAATCTTTTCTTTCAACAGGTGTAGTTTCTTAGCCAACATATGTGAATCCAAACCYTCTACTTGGAAAGGCAGCCACCAAAACTTCAGCTTGTCTACAAAACCCTCTTCCTAGAACCACAAATGTTCAACCCTGAAAGGCCCAAGCTTCCTGCTTAATCCCTCCCCATACAACACAATTGAAGTGTGATCAGATAGTGTTCTGGGTAGAGATTCTTGATATAGGTTTGGGAACCTAGCCTCCCACTCAGTAGACACCAAGAATCAGTCCAGCTGCACCAAAGTGGGATCTTCCTAATAGTTCGTCAAGGTAAATTTGGCACCAGACAGAAGTAAGTCCACCAAGCTGTTTCCATTTACAAAGTCCACAAAAACCTCATCCCTGCAGAATTGCAAACATTCCCATTCTTTTCATGTGCAAATCCGATGATGTTGAAGTCTCCAATGCACCAGGGAATGGACCTATTTCCTCTTATCTGGTTGAACTCTACCTAAAAAACCAGTCTCAAAGAATCATCATTGGGTCCATACACACCTATGACAATTCCCTAAAACCCATCTTTTCCAGAAACTTCGATCAAGACTGAGAACTCCCCTATTAAGTGGTTGTGGAACTTGTAAGTTTTCGGAGTTCCAAATCACCAAAATCCCATCTGTCCTCTCAACGTCTACTCATTTTTAATTAGTAACAGAAACTTTATATTAAGAAAAAGGAACAACAATTACAGGATCCAGGGGGAGAGGTAAACTCTCTTAGCTCTCCCCAAGACAAAAAAACATCACAAACAAGCCCACAATGATTGATCCCTTCCCACCCCGTCTGGCTAGAAAATCAGCAAAGGAGTTAGCACTCCTTTTAACCCACAGTAATCTCACTTCCATGCCTCTGGATAACCATTTGAATTTCTTTTTTTTTTTTCATTTACAAATCCCCACAGACCATCCTCTTCTTTTTCTAACCATCCAATGGCTATCTTGGAATCACCTTCAATAATCAAATTTATGAATATTTAACCCTTTTGCTCTTTTTACCCCTTCCAGAACAGCCAAGATTTCAGCTCTGAGAGAATCTCCTACTCCAATTGACTCCAAGAATAAAGCGATGACCTGTCCTTGCTCATTTCTGAGTACACCTCCAATAGGATTGCCTTCACTGCTCCCATCAAAGTTTAGTTTTATATACCCCACAGCTGTTGGAGACCATATAGGATTGATGACAGCTTTACTTGGTGCTGATTTAGCCACTTCCTCCCAGTTATTGAGTAGCAAACATGTTGATATATCCTATAATATTTTCAATGATTTCACCCACTGAACCACCCTAGCTGTGACAACCTCAAAAATGGCGCTTCTACTTCTTCCCTTATTAAGGAAGGTCCTTTGATTGTTTTCTTCCCAAATGGTCCAGAAAATAGCAGCTCTAGTACATCTCCAAAGAGCTTTCCCCTCTTCTTCATCCCACTAACAGCCAAGTAAAGAAACAAGCTGTGTATATCTAGGGGAGGAGTCCACCTACAACCAAACAAAGAAACAAACCAATTCCAAATAGAAAGAACAAAGGGGTAGGAAATTAATAAGTTGTAGCAAGTCTCACAATTAGCCTCACAAAGAATGCACCAGTTAGGAGACAGACACCAAGAGGGTCTTTTGCTTTGAAGCAAACCACAGGGTATTAATCTTCCCCAGAAAAACTTGTGAACAAAAAGTCCCTATTCTTGTAGGAACTGGCTTTCCCCAGACTTCTTTTACAGGAAAAGGCAACCCAAGACTTTCAGAGGGTTGGACTAAGGCTCTAAAGAGAGAGGCACAAGAAAAGGAACTAAAGGGTGTTAGAGTCCAAATTCTGCTATACGATTTAGTAGGGTCCAAGAAAGCCCCTTGTAAGAGGTAGATCAAATCCAAAACAATTTACATTTCTAAATCTCTAAGACACTTCCTAAAGCCTAAATCCCAGTCAAACCCTAAGACTGAATCAACAGGAACCAAGAAAGAGGATACAGGCTCGTCCTTAAAACTTGAAATAGAGAACAAGGACGGAAATTGGAATTTTAAAGGTAACTCACCCATCCAAATATGTTCCAAGAACTTAACTCACCCATCCAAATATGTCCCATGAGCACAAGTTGTACCTGATGAAAGTTGAGAAGAGAGATAGGATGGCATGTATTGACCTCCATGGAGAAGCATTTGTAACCCGAGTCAGCACTCCAGCATCCCAACCCTCAGCCAACAGCCCATGAATGCTACGGTTTACCTTTTTTTTTATAATTAATGCTACGGTTTATCTTTGCCCACAATTTATCCTTTGTCAATTGGCAGCCTCCAAGACCACTTCCCTAGGAGAGCTAGATTTCTCTTCTAAAGATTCTCTAAACCTAAACCACCACCACTTCTACTCCTATAGACTCTTTCCCAACTAACCCTATATTTCTTCTTCTCCTCCCCAGGTTCCCACAAGAAGTTTCTGATCAATTTTTCTAACCTTCTGCTCACACCCACTGGGACTTTGAAAACAGAAAGGAAGTAAATAGGTTGGTTGAGACTGTTGGTTGGCAGATTTGCCAACCTTCAAACCTGACCAAGACTGGCTTGACACAACCCAAGCCTAAGCCCGACCCAAGTTGTGTTGGGTTAAGCTCAAGTTTGCTTGGGTTGGTAAACTTAGGTTTGACCTCATATTGAGCTAGGTCAAATCCCAAGGTTTGCATCTTAGTGTTGGGCTTGGGTTAACCCTTAACCCAACCCAACCTGCCCAAGTTCCAGCCTTAATGGTAAATGTTGCCTTCTTAATCTTCTCCATACTAAAAGTTATAAGAAGCAAATGTTATGTAAAAATGTCAAACTCCAATTCCATGTGTTCGACATGGACACGTTATCCATTTAGGAGACACCATGCAACACCGGTAGTACCTCTATACAATGGTACTTACCACTACATTGTAGTAGCCCTAAATTGCATGGCAAATGGACCACCGTTTAGCAATAGATGTTTCTATTACAATTAGAGTTACAGATTTCACAAGAGTTATGAAAAATACAAATTCTTCTCTTTGGGAATTTCAATAAGGAACTCATTGGATCCCACACAAATCAATCAGCCTTGTCAAAAAATCTCTCTTGAATGGTTCAACACTCCAATTAAATTATAGAAAGTAGAAACTTGGACAATTGATCTGAGTTTGAATCAATAAATGGTTCCCTCTTCTCTTCAGTTTTGCTCCTCCAACCCAAGTCAACACCCAACCTTCACCTCCTCAAAACAAAACAGGTCACCAACGTGGCTCTCTTCCTGGCCATCAACGCTGCCGTGTGTCGTCAGTGACTAACTCCCCTTTTACTCCCAGCTCTTTTCCATCCTCAATTTCCGCAACGACATTGGCACATCCTTCCCCAATTTCCTCATCCCCCTCTTCTGTCCCCCCACGCTCAGCAGAGATAACCTCCTCAGAGACCAACAGGTCTACTGATCCAAACTGTACCTGGTTTCTTGATATGCTGCATCCACAACCTCAGGTTCAGGCAAGACACAAACCACTGCAATATTTCTGTCAAACTGAGAGCATAAGCACGTATCTCCATCCAAAGAAGAAGATTGGTACCCAACGCACTCCACCCCTGTTTCTCTAACTATCCTCTTGTTACCATTCTTATCAAACTCGGCAATCACCCAAACCCACCTTTCCCCCTTTTTTCTCGGTTAAGTCTCTCCTTCCCAACATCCCACACCTTTAAAATTTTGGCATATTAAAACCTAATTTTTTTTTGTACATTCTAACTCTATGGGGGAGAATTTCCTGATGAAAAAGATTTGGAGCAAGCCTGTTCAGCCCAAAGTTCCACGTGTTGTGCTGGGAAGTGTTTCTTGGAAAGATAAATACCTATGATATGCTTAAAAAAAAAGAAGGCCAAACATGTTTTTATCTACTAATTTATGTTTCCTGTGCAAAGCAAGTGGCAAAACATTATCCCACTTACTACTTTCTTGCCCGTTTGTACTCTATGTTTGGAAATACTTTTGCTCTCTCTTTAGGTGTAGGTGCCCTCCTCATGATGTGGCAAGTTTCTTTAGCTCAAGTTTCCAAAGGCAACCAAAGAAAAGAGGAAGAGTAATGTGGAAGGCAGTTAGAGAAGCAGTAGTGTGGACTTTTGGGAAGAAAGTAATGGAAGAATCTTCAATGAAATAAGTTGGCCCAAGGAGGAGTTAATAGACATTATAATGATCAAAGTAGCATATTGGGTAAAGACTATGTCACTATGGAGATTTTACAAGACTTTCCAGTAAATAATATAATAAGAAAATGGGCTGGCCAAGCCCCTTGAATTGACAGGGTTATCTTCAGGGGGAGTTAAACACTTCCTACTTATGAGCCAGAAGAACTGCAAATGGGATAGCAGATTCACTAGGAAAACAAGGGGTTAATAGACATCGTTATTTTGGGCATTAATGTAAATCTTATGTATTTTGGGTGGCTGTAATATCTCAACCAAGGTTCAAAGTATTGATATGTATCGGCCGATACGTATTGTGCCAATGGCTTGCCGATACGCCCCTCCAGGGGTTGTATCGGGTCAGCCACCGGTTCAGAGGGTAGTTGGGCCTTAAACCGACCCCTCTGAACCGGTTTTGGAAAAAAGTAAATAAAATTAAAAAAATGTACCGACACAGACCGATACGCCCTACCGGCGGGCGTATCAACCCGTGTCAATATTTGGAACCTTGATCTCAACCACATGTCCTAAATTCTCTCATTGATTTAACAAATCTTCTTCTTTACTAATCAAAAAAATAATGGTAGGCCTCTAAAACAATGAATAATCAGATAATCAACATTTCTTTATAGCAAGTGAGAAGGCAAATAACTACAAAACAAGATAAGATAAATATTTCAAGCTCAGAAAATTAGGAAGATTCACCTCAGACTGGAGGTGGCCACCAAATATATGTTGAATAAGGGTCGTCTCTTGAGAGCTAGGAGGGAGAACCTTTTCTCCCCCAAATTTGTCAAGGCATACTGACTGCATTGTATCAATAGCAAACCTGAACAAAAGAACATGCTTAACAAACCATGATGGAAGATTCATTTACTAAGTTTAATTGTAGAAAATAACTTCAGATGCCAGAAGCAAGATCTAATTAATCAGAAATCAAGAAGAACCTCATGAATTCATGTGCATCCTCCTGCTTTCCATAACCAAGGTTACCACCAATATTAGGTAGCCGGGATAGAATATTGATTGGTGAAAATGGATGCAAACTTTGGCTTGCTCTTTCAACATGAGTTTGAAGTTCACATAAGAAGCACCAGTCATTCCGCCTGCCTAAAGAATAAGAAACAATACAGAGAAGGTGAGGAAGTTTTGAGCCTATGCTAAAGAAAACAGAGTGAAGATTAAAGAGTTCAGTGCTCTATTTTACATTCTCTCCTATGGCCTTTCTCCAACAAGTAAGCAACAAGGGGCCGTGTAAATCCAAGACACTGCAGAACCACATTTGCAAAGCAGCTACACAGTGAAAGCACTTTATCAGTATTTAGAAACAAGATATAGCAAATATATCAGTTTCTTTTGATTTTTTTTTTTTTGAGTAATTAAAAGCAAGTCATAGTGCTTCAAGACCCAATTTAACATAAAAGGTAACTTTTAAGGTAGTTAAACATTCATACTGTCAAAATAATGAGAACAGATCAATATAATAGGCATGAACCTGTTTCCACAATTTAGAAGGCCACATGGGGGGAAACCCAGCTTGTCCCAGCTGAAAAGTTTCACAAATTCATCATATGGAAACAGAACCTGAAAATTTGGATTTTGCTATGAGTTGAATTCAACTGAAAGAGAAGAGTCAACAAAACCAATTAAAACTTGAACTTCCAGTATGCTATATAAGCCAATCACCCACCTTCTTTGACTGCTGAAGCGCTTTGCAGGTTTCATTGCCAGGATCCATTGAAGCTGGACCATTTAATTTACCTCCATGGCTGGAAGTCCTTCTCTCGAAACTACCACTGTGTGGCTTCAAAGCTACATTGCCAGCTGATTTTAGTTCCTTGCATTTGTGTTTGTGAATTTTGTTCCAATGTTCCCTCTGACAAGTTTCAGAGCTGAAAAATCAAAAGAAAAGACATCTCTGAACTTGAAAATTCAAAAGTAACAAGAAGTTGGAAGTTGAGAGAACATCCAGATGGAAGTCAACAACTGTACGCAGGAAAATTAAACCAGCAAATAAATAAACAGTAAACAGATATCCTAAGGGATGAAGGTGAACCACAGAACAAAAGAGAACATAACAATTAAATCTGTAAGTGCATACAAGAAATAAGGTATGTGCCTCGCCTAGGCACCATGGGTGGCAACAAGTCGAGCTTTTCACAAGCTGCTTGAGCTCGGCTCGTGAAAAGCTCGGCTCAGCTCGGTTTCAGCCGAGCTCGAGCCTACTAGAGCTTAGCCTCACGAGCCGGCTCTAATATATATAATATATATAATAAAAATATTATAATTATTAATGATTATAATTCTTAATTTTTAAATATAAAATAAATTTTTTATATATAATTTTTATTTTTATAAAATATTTTTATAATAAAATTTTTATAAAATATATAATAAATATTTTTATAAAATATAAAACGAGCCGAGCTCGAGCTTATAAACTTTTGACTCGAGCCGAGCTCGAGCTCAAGGTTCTGGCTCGAACCGAGCTCGAGCCTTATAGAATAGCCTCGGACCGAGCTCGAGCCTGGTACTTGGCTCGAATCCACCCCTAGCCCCAGGCACAGCACTTTCAAAAGGCACACCTAGTGCACCTAGGCATGCGCCTGGTGCACCTTGTGCTTCATCCCAGGCATGCGCCTTTTTTATCTTGCGCTTTTTGTTCTTTTTTGAACATAGCAACTGGATCGGGGCTCAAAAAAATATATTCTATTTGTTAACGTTCTGAGAACCCCCTGTTTTGCCAATGTTGTTCATTCAGTCATCCTAATAAAATATCTTCTTAAAAGTCCATAAAATTATAAATTCATTTTTTTTGTGTAAGGATTAAGAATTTATGACCCTAACATGGATCGTTTAGGCCTGCCTCGAGGGCATTGGTACAAAGGTGGCTCATAGAATCAAGAATGCAAGATGTTTTAGATCACATTAGCTATTTGAAGTCATGCAATTGAAGAAAAAAGAGATTGTGGGTTTTACATGCTTGAAAATGTTTTATATATTTAATTTTATTTTTAAATGTTCATTTGAATACGCTTTACATGTTATGTTTATGTATTTTAATTTTAGATGATAGGTTTTTGAAAATTTTGTTTTAAAATTTAAGTTTATATTTTTATTAATATTATGTTTAATATTTTCTTTCATTTTCTGCATTTTTTTAAATTTCCTGGCATTTTTTGTGTTTTTGCACCTTGCTTCAAAAAGACCCATGCCTCACCTTGCACATCAAGCACAAATTGCCCCTTGTGCTTTTCAAACACTGAATTGAATTGGTTGCAAGCCATCACTCCAACATGGGAGGCATGGGATCAAACCCGCATATCTACATCTACAAGCTCTTGGTGGTATGGCCAATGGGCCTCACATGCATCATGCTGGACTTGCTTTATCCCCACCCTAAAATCCCCAGTAGCATACTATGTAATACCAAAAACCAAGAACCAACACTACACACCATAGAGTTGTTACCTCCTCAATAGATTTACATACTCATCTACAGCACCTATCCAAAAAATGAGTGTGGCAGAAATGAGAATTCTTAAATGGTTTAGTGGTAAAAATACAAAGGACGGGTCAGAAATGAAGTTATATGAAGGAATCTAAGAGTAGCTCCAATAGGCAATAAAATGAAAGAGCATAACAGAGATGGTTTGGTCATGTGCACAGAAGATCATCTACATTACTTGTTAGAAAAAGGGATAGAAGAGCTAGGGACGGACTGAAAAGTACTTTGCTAGAAGTAATAAGAAATGAGTTAAGCACCCATAATTTAACGATGAACATAGCACTGAACAGAATGGAATGGAAAAACACAATTCATACAGCCAACCCCATATAGTTGGGACAAGGCTTAGATGATGACTTGTCTTACACTCTTACCAACCTCTTTAATAACAAACTCCCACAATTTTCATCCAGAAAATTTCAGCCAACCTATCTCCCTCCTCTCAAAATCTAAAAAAAAAAGTACTTTCCTTGCAAGCTTCTCAAACCAAGAGCCCCAGAGTCTTCCCAGCTTGGAATTTTTTCAACCACCACATTAATATCAATCTGAGATACCATGTATCTTCTCAGAAGAGGAAATCCAGTTGATTACAACTGTGCAATCTCCTTCCACCACAAAATTATTTCAGCACAAAGAATATGTAAATTTGAAACCATGAAATAGTGCCAACAATTTTGATAATGAACACTCTCTTCCAGCCAATAAAGAGTCAGTTGCCTACTTGCTGCTATTATTCTCTTATTCTTACAAGACTACTTAATCAGGCTATTTGAGAAGTCTTTGGTAGTGCCCCCAGACTTGTAGTCTCTAATCTTTAATGATCCATCAAAGGATACTCCAACAGATGTAGGATCTTGTGTCATCTTGCGATCCAAGGTGCTTATGAAAGGAAATGAATCTTCAGATTTTTGAGAAGGAAACTTGATGGAGGAAAGAAAATTGGGAAGATCAAGAGGCTTAATTTTCTTGGACCCTTATTTTGAAGGATTTTAAAGACCTAAACTTTAGTTACTTCTGAAATGATTTGTAGAATATTCTGTCCCAATCCTTTGGTGATATGAAGACTGTAAAGTTGCATAGGAGTAGGGGTGCAAGTCGGGTTGCCAACTTGAAGAACTTACACAGCATCAGGCTGGGGCCCTCAGCCTGGACCTATTCAAGTTTTAGAAAATGTTCAACCCAAGCCCGCCAATTTGCAGCCCTAAATAGGAGTCATACGATGCTCACCATGTAAGCTATGTACAAGGGACCTCTGGTCCCTCTAAGTCTCAATAGGATTAGAGTTAACCACAACTGCCAACCATTCTATTAGTCAGCATTCCTAATCTGCAGAAAGGACTTGGTATTAAATGAACCATTCAGTATATGCATAGCTTTGTTCAGGTAGACCATGTCCAGAACAATGGCTATCTGCCTTTTTTTTTGTCTGGCAAAGATTGTTCTCTTTTTTATCTTTTCCTCCCCACAATTTCTTGCAGTGATTAATGGGCTTCCAGGAATAACTTTTCCAAAAGGCATGTTCTACTGGCATGTCCTATAAAACCTTCCTGTAATCAGTTCAGTTAATCCATCCAACGACCAACGATCTAGGTTCAAGAACCACCTAAAAGCAAGGTATCAACCCAAATTGTCATCGTCCACTGTATTACCCCAGAGGAACAAAAGGAAAAATACATAACTACAGTAAAAATCAACCAAATTTTTGAAAGTGTAAGAAAAGAAAATTGATTTAAAAAAAGGGAAAAACTTAAATCCCAATAAACAAAAGAACTCAAGAATAAAAATCAGAAACCCAAAAATCAAAACAAACGAAGTAGTAGGTAACCCAGAGAAACAACTCATAAAGGCAATCAGATCTCTGATACGTTCGTATCTGCAATGAGAAAGAGAATAAAAAAGAAACAGACTAGTTTTCCTCCAAGAAACACCTAATAATCTAAAAAATAATCAATAAAAACTGAACTTTACAAAACAAAAGAATAAGAACAAGAAGAATGCTTACCAATATCGAACAGTCTTGCAGCCAGAACACTTCTTTCTGGCCGAATTGCCGCACATGGCGCATAACTGACCACCGCCATCAACGGCGAGCATCTCCTCGCCAGTGCCCAGGCTGCCGTCACCCGTTGCCACGACTCCACCACCTCCTCCCCCTCCGTCGAAATTCGCGTCGACGACGAAATACTTGGATGCTGTATTCTTCACCAGGTGCAAAAACCCGAGAACAAATAGAAACGCAGTGAACACGAGCTGCAAGACCCAAGAGGGATCGAGGAAAAGACCCGAGACATGCATCTACGCCTCCACCTTCTATCTATGTACTCAAATTTATAAACTTTCATGGATAAATTGGGAAACTCTCAGAAGCTGCGAGATCGGCCTGTTCCCCTCTCACACGCTGACTCTCTAGTTTCTTCTTCTCTGTCCCTTGGATCTCTCTCTCTCTCTCTCTCTCTCTCTCTCTCTTCGTATGTTGTTTGTTTCCTTTATTTGCTATGTGGCCTATTGGTTTCCTAATTTGCAATTGCTTCGGTATTCCGAGGCTTTCCATGGAGAATGCCCCATATCGTTTTCTTGTCTGGGAATGAAACTGCCCCACTAAGGGGTTTGAAGTGACTCACAGTCATCTGATTGGTATATTATTAACCAACAATTTCATCAAGGAAACATAATGTTTAAGAGTAATGGGCCCATGGGCCCATTCATTTAAGAGGGTGTTCTTTAGTGGGCCATTGGATTGGATAACATGGATTAGTTGATTGCTTTGTTTATCCAAACAAGTCTCTCTCTTTGTGGTATGAACAGGACTTAGTAGTCTTCTTGCATAGCCAAAGAAAATTTTAGGGTTTTTGGACAAATGAGAGCTCAGGGTGAAGAACCTCCAACCCACCTAATAATGCCTCTAATAATGGAAGAGGGGTCAAACTGTCAAAGAGAAAGCTTTTGAAGAAGAGTCACCTGATTAGAATAAATGTGATTGATCACCTGATTAGAATAAATGCCAGAATCCAATAAGGGCCCTCACCATGGAACCTGAGGGGAAGTTCTAAATAAAATTTTCTTTTAATAAACTTACCTTCTATTTTTCTGATTTTCTTTTACCTTCTATAGTTAAGTTGATAATTGTACTAACAATGTCAAGTTCAAGGTTTTAAAAGGTTAAAGGAATAGTTTAGACAGAATGGCTAAAATGGTGAGGCATAAACTTTAAGTGGTTGTGAGGCATTAAGAAAAAGATTAGTTTAAGTTTATAAATTATACATAACATAGAAGTTCATGAGAAACGAGTTATAACCTTTAAGAATTAAACAAGATGGTTACTATTCAACTAACAATCATAATCCTTTTTTTTCCATTAAAGTCATGGTCACAACTAAAAAAAAAAGAAACAAATTAGCTGATTTGATTTGTGCAAAAAAAAACAATAAAAAGAAAAAAAAAATCCATTAGGAAGAGATATGAGAAAAATAACAAACTTGGGGTGTTATTATTAGAATAATAAGAAAGAAATCCTACTTGATTTAACCAAGAGAAACATTAAGAGAAATTAATAATAAGAAAGAAACCCTTTTTTGAACTGAACTCTCCTAAAACATTAAGAGATATCAATTCATCCTATTGGCTTTTAAGTTTTACTATTTTATTTGGCCCATACTAACCAAGGTGCCTCTCTCATATATTCCGAACTATAAAATATATTTTTGTATTAAATCGCTAAATAACCATTGATCATTGATGCCTACACCTTTTGGCAAACTAGGATACATGTTGTTGACCCCGATTAACCAAACTTCTTACAAATTTTCCTTCAATTTTCTGAGCCTTTATTATTCTTTATCAAACCAAACACAGCCTGAGAGGATATTGTTTCCATGTCTTCCTATAGTTGGGTGATATTAAAGTACACATAGTTATTGGGTAGACAACCTAAATAACATAAGACATGAGACAAAAATGGATTGTGTTTTCCTTGTTATATTCAATTATTTTTTGTTTTTGTGAGGAACAACCTTTGATAAGATGGCACCTAATAGAATGGAATGGTGAAACTAGATTAATGTAACTAACCCTATATAGCTGGGACAAGGCTTAGACCCTTCCAATTGATATTGCTTTTCTCATTTCCTTCAAATGAATGTTTTACAAAATTATGTTCAAACAATATAAATTATAATTTCCTGGATTATTCAATCTAAATGTTTTTCAAATAATAAAAATCTAACATTAAAAAAGAAACATTATTTAAATATTTCAATAACTAAATATATTAAATAACAAAGTATTAAAATTAATATTTTAAATCAATTGATTATATATTTTAAATATCTACTGAATAAATTTCAATTATAATAAATAGATTAAGATTTTAAATATTTAGTTAAATAACTAAATAATTTAAATAAATAAATATTTAACATAACTAGATTTTAAATAGTTAAAATAACAAAATTATGTATTAATAGTACTATAATTTTGTGGATTATTTAAATGATGATATTATTTCAATAAATAAATAATATTGTAAGTAACTAATTTCATTTATACCAATTAATAATTATAGAAAATAACTTTCAAAAAAATATTTTTTATCAATAATAATTTTAAAAACTTAATCTATATACACTAAAATTAATATTTATTGTATTTTAGTGATTATTTATGGTTTTTGTGATAAATATATTTTCAATAATTATGTATAAATCTATTTTTGTTTTGTTATTTAATAGAAATTTTTCAATAATTATTGGAGTTTAAACTACTATTTTTTAGCTTTTTAAATTTAATTTATTGTGTATTTTTGCTATAAATTTTTAATATTTATTGAAGATTAAAGTATTGTTCACGAGTTGGTCCGGTTTAATTATAGGTTGTCTGGCCAACCAAATCGACCTGGTCAAGTTGGGGAATTGATCACTCAGGTTATATCAACTTGGGTCAATTTTCGATTTGTTGGTCAGTTCAAAAGATTTAAACTTAAAAACTTAAATTTAAAATTTAAGTTTAAATTAAAAAAAAATACAATGGCAATATTAAAAAATAAATTTAAAAATTAAATTTATGACATAAAATACTTTAGCCTAAGAAATATTGGAATTTTCCTACTTTTTCGTATTAAAAAGATATATTTAAAATATAAAATATTAATATATATGGTTAGGTTGTTCGATTTTAGTTGGTTTTCAAATGGCTAAAGTGAAATTGGTCCAACCCAATCGGGTTAAAAAATTGTTGAACCAAAGCCGACTAGAAATACTAGAAAACGGGTTGCTCAGTTTCATTAGTTTGATTAGGAATGGCAATGGGATGGGGCAGGGACGAGAAGCCTCTCCCCATCCTTGCCTTCGCAAAAATCCCCATCCACATCTCCATGGGGATCCCCACTCCCCGTGATTCTTTATAATGTCAACTATTATGTTTTTATTTTCTATTTTATTTAAAAAATAAAAATAAAATAATTAAGTTTACAATCATATTAGAAAAGATTCAAAATATTCACATATTTTGAATCATAAACGTGGTACCAAATCAAGTGTTATTTATCAAAATTCATGGGCGGATTTTGATTGGTCAAAACTCTTCCCATACCATATCTTTTTCGCATCATAGACTTTCCCATCTTTAAAATTATTAACATATAAACGTATGTGTACATACATATATAAACGTATGCATATACATACATGTATATTAGCGGGGATCCCATGGGGCAGGGGATCGAGGTCCCCGTGGGGCAGGGAGTGCACTCCCCATCCCCGCCAATGGGAATGAAAATTTCCCCATATCTGTCCCCACAGGGGGAAAATCATCCCCATCCTTGCCCCATTCGGGACAGATCCCCACAGGGATCAGGGAAATGGGGAAAATTGTCATCCTTATGCTTGATAAACAACCCTATCTAAAATTAATTATTGTTATTTTTGTATTGTAAAAAATATATTAAAAGTAGTATATAAAATATAAATGATTATTAATTATTATATAAAAAAATTGTATACTCTTACGTGTTTCTATTGTTTATCTTTAATTTAACAAATCACGTACATCGCATAGGTCCCCGCTAGTAATTCATTAAAAGATTCCAACATGAAAGCGTACCCTCTTACTCTTATGAAACATTATACTCATGCCATATAATGATGGTGGGGACTTCTAATGTTGGGTATGGGCTTCAAATGGATTGGATCCGATGAGATAAATAGACCCATATTTAATTCTTCAAATTTCGATTCAATTCAAATTCCAATATTAAACATTGAATACTTTTAAAGTTAAGCTTTTGTGCTTGAGAATACACACCTATTGATGCCATGGCGATGCCTAGATTCAAATATTTTGAAAGTTTAAAGAATTAGAAATGGTAAAAGAGATATTTTGTCAGGCATACTTCTAACAAGGAGGTCTTAGGTGTCATTCCATTGCATTGACCTTTCACCAAAACACTTTTGACAAAAATGCTATGAAAAGTTGTGATTTTCCTTCTTTTTTGACATCCAAATACATAGTTGTTCTCAAACTTGAATGTTGAGTTTTGAGAAAAGACAACTAAAAATTTTAMCCCAAGCAATACAATGATTGGTTAATAATCTATACATCTATACAACTATAAAAAGTGTGAATAAGGGGGTGGAACTTATGTTTGATTAAAATACCCTATTTTTTTTATTCGATTGTTCTATAAATAAGGACAAAAAATGTAATTTGAACAACCACTTTTCTCCTTATTTAAATCCCTCATTTAGTCTTATATTTAAGGAATTAACTCTCACTGGAATTCAATGAATTGTATTCTTACTAAAATGTCCCTATTTGTGAATTTAGTCAATCTCTAATTGTGAGGGCACAAAATGTAAATTGAACATTTCTCCTCATTTAATTCCTCGTATTAAATCTTATATTTAGGATATTAATTCTAATTCTCTCATTGAATCCTATAATTATAAACAATATTAAAGAAAAATAAGTGTGACAAAGAATAATTACTTTTATTGATGATAGAAATTAAATACAAATTTAAAACTAAGGCAAAAAAATATAGTTGTTTTCCTATTTGGTGGCAATTGATGAATCAACAATTCAACATTTTTGGGTCAAATGTGTAAATTCTTGATGTCATAATTAAATAATTATGAAAATTAAAAATGGATGAAAACACACATAAGTATAAAAATACAAAAAAAAATGTCAATAGCATTTGGACACGTCTCTAACATGGCATGTTCAGCATATTAAACAAAAATAAGTGTGAAAAACAAGAAAATTTTTTATAAACATAAAAATATAAACAAATTATAGAAAATTTTTAAAACATATTATTTACTATCATTATCATCATAAAAAATTCCCATGTGCAAAGCACGTGCAGACTTACTAGATACATTGAAAAAGATGAAATGATAAGAAATGAATAAAATGAAATAACTTATAAAAGAAATATGAAAGTGATTGAACAACATTGAGAAAATAAATAAACCATTAATAAACACTAAAATAATTATTAAATAAGTAAG